ATATAGATATATAAATATATATTTATATACCACATACATAGATTCTGGGCATCTGATTTATTGCAAAGCGGGCAATAACTTCAACCATCATTCCGATGACATACGTAAGTTTAATGTTAGTTCATAAATTTCAGAGGAAAAAAGTACTATCGTGTTAAGTGATAGTATAATTTTTTGCCGTCGCGATATAATCTCTAGGTCCCACCTATAACGTGGTGGCTGCCGAGTTGATCAGCCGAGCGGTTAAGTCAGGGGCACCATAATATTCAGCTATAATATCAGCGCTGGTTCGAACGGGTCACTCGCCTATGGTTTCGGTGGTAGAGTCTTCTCAGATAAGGACTTTAAACCGTAGGCCCAGTGTATGCATTTGGTTCATGTGCACTTTAATGAACCCAGTACATCTTTTGAGAAGAGTAGGGGGTTACCCTGGTGTACTGGTACATTCAGTCCCAATGGACATGCCATGTAGGATAGTGGTTAAGTTCGCTGATTGGCATATCCTTGGCGCTTGCGCCTAAAGAAATTTTTTTTAAATGAAATTGCTATGCAATTTATGACACGCACCTAAGGTAAAGAGGTGAGAAAGACTACGGAAGGTGAGAAAGATTGGCCCTTTAATTGCCTATGGAAGTAAGCCTACTTGGCGGGTACTCTATTTCTTATATATTTTAGGCCTCTTAGAATCTATGTATAAAGGTATATAAAACAAATACTGACTGCTCTAGTTTCAAGAAACAGTGAAATCTATAGACCCTCTGCGATGTGGACACCACAGCCTACTTTCCTGAGGACCAAAAACCAGAGGGAAGGTAATAGGCTATGGTCTCCACATCACCGTGGGGCAATAGATTTCACCATTCCCCTCATGAGTGGTTAATATTTATATAATATATATAATTAATATTATATTAATTTATACGAATTATATTCTTTAGAATAAATATTTAATATTAATAAATACTTTAAACAAATTAGTGAGCAATAATGAGATGTACAAGATTGATAATATTGGGGCTGGGGAATTCAAATTACTATAGGCTATTCTCTAAAATTATACAAATCTTCAAATATAAGATATTTAGGTCACACAGTGTATTCTAAAACTAGAAAAGGTAACCCCACTACCTATAGTTGACTGCTAAAGAATAACATGCACATTTTGTAAATGAAGGAATCTTTGATTAATTGAGTCTGTGATTGTACAATGATACTTGTCAATCTGCAAAGCATTGATTCTGGCCGTAAGCTCCTCGTTCGCCATAAACTAACAAACAAATCAATACTCCACAGATATCAACGCAAATATTGCCAGAAGCAATGAACCTGTCTGCATGTCGGTGTGTTGCGTGAAACCAACTCTGAGCTCTCAATGCCTCACGCATAACACAAAACTACTCTTAAATACTGACTGCATGAACGATGTGATCGATTCATTATAATCGGATAAATTTAATCTAAAGAAATATTTTTAACAGATTCAAACAAGCATGTATGATAATAAAATTGCTAATTTTGTTGGACAGTATTTTTTAATGATTTGCATGCCTTGTATAGCAACCATAACCACTTTAGGCAGAAAATTGATTGAAAATCTCTGACAATTCAGCAACGCATACAACTCGGGATCAAATTCAACCCATTTTTTTTAAAGGTATTCCTCATTTCAAGCATAACTAGATGCTCTAACACTGTCAGTATGTCGTCATTTAAGTTAAAAAATTCAGATAAAGTCTGTGTGATAAGTTTGTGTGAACAGCCTAAAAAAAAAATTCCTATTTTAACAGATACTTAGTTGTAATATTACTACCCTAAAGTGACAACAAATGCATTTCTGGGCATCTACGAATATTCCCCTGGCGGTGGGAATCTCTGGATCCCCTAGGGGTGGAGGAGTTTTCAGTATAACGTTATGTCACAGTCTACAAATCTGGAATCTCTGTGTTCACGCATGTGATTTGCGTACTCAAACCAGCACAAGTCATGCCAGTCATAAACACTCCACATTTTGACAGTTCACATTGCCATGCGCGCCCATAGCACTGTAGCAACAAACCTGAAAAAGTTACTTAGACTTAGTCGAGTCTTATGTAATCTGATCCTCCTGGGTATAGAGGCCAAGCAAAATGATGCGGCCCCTCGAAAAAAAAAACTAAATATTTAAAATGTAACATAGGGCGCAAATTTAAATGGATGGGCAGCTAAACGTAATTCAATTGCAGATTTATATAAATTAATCGAGCTTGAGTAACGTCTTTGTTCGATAGAGAATTCCACAGCCGGACTGACCTAAATGAAAAAGCGTGACTTTTAATAAGTGTCCTACATTGCTGACGTTTGATCATAAAGGCGTGACCTCTAGTTCTAACACCTTCATCAAACTAAAAAAATAACGGGTTACCACGTCAAGACAGGCGGTGCAAACATGGAAAGCCACATTTGGCTTGGAACACCTCCCCCACACCTTCGAGCCAGGCTAGCCTACTACATCATGTGCGCAAAATGATTTACGCCATCATTCTGGCCTGGCGTAATTCCCAGGTGTGAACAAGGGCTTTAATGAAAATATATATATATAAGTATTAAAGTGCATTAGGGCCATTATTAGGAAATAAATGATATAATGAAACTCCCTGGTGGACCAAAGCCCGGCTTGTACACAAAGCACGTACAAAGCACTCAGCATGCAACCGCGAAGATGAAAACCTTGCCTGTCTCTTATTTTATCGCCAGTTATTCAAAAATCGGTATCGGTTTTAAACACATATATAGGTATTATTGGATAAATCAAAATAATGCTAATTAGCCTACCTTACAAAAATTTGCAGAGTCACTACACCAGAAGCCTTCTACCTTATTACCTTCAGAATTTAGAGCACCACTAGAGTGAATCTTAAAAAGATGAGTAAGTAAACCCATCTTCGAAGCATGGTGGCGTTGTTCCAAATTATCTTAAGTAATTTTACATTCAGATTCATATAAATAATATAACACCACCAACAACAACTACAATAACAATAAAAGTTAAAATAATAACAATAATAATAATAATAATAATAATAATAATAATAATAATAATAATAATAATAATAATTGATGAGGATGGTGATTGGGATGATGATGATGATGATGATAATAATAATAATAATAATAATAATAATAATAACAATAAGAATAATAAATAATTGTACATAATAGTTAGATAGTACTTAAAATCTTTAGGTGTTTTATGGTTATTAATAGTATAGCATATCCGTTTGCAGATGACGCCTGTCTAATTAAGAAATATGTCAAGCAGCGGCGCAATTGAACTAATGAGTCCTATTGTTTGATTCGCTCAGAAGTGGATGTGATGCCGTATAATGAAAATAATAATGATACTAATGATTAAGATAGTAATACAGTGTACTGTATGTATTTCTGAAAATATAGTCAGTCATTTTTTACTAGAAGAAGAAGAACAAGAAGATGCATTACAATTATCTTTCTTAATAGGCCTATTCCCTCTTTCATGAAAACAGAACTCACAGGCCCTTAAACCAAAAGGCATCTAATTGTTATCGTATGGAGAGAGAGAGGGGGTGGGGGGCTTTCTTCTACTGGTATTCATTTTTTCGTTGTTCAATAAATGTTCTATATTGTATGCTGTATACAATAATTCTTGTTCCTTACACAATTAATGCATTTCTGATAATAATACCCACTCAACAGTAATTTCAACTCATGGGCGGTTACAAGGGAGGCAGCCGGCCCGCCCCAACCCTCTAACTTTTTCAATTTAAAAAAAAATGGTGGGGGGGGGGGAGAAACTTAACATTAATATTTTTAATCTGAGAATGTCATTTCCGGCCAATGAAAAGCATGCCATAGGCATATAATTTCGTAGGTAGTCTGGACCCGCCATCTCTAAAACTGGCTTTCTGAGCCCCACTCTTCAAATTCCTGGACCCGCAATGTCTTCACTCTCCATTGCTTGTGATTCCCATTTTCTAATGAAATAGATTAATAATTAAATAGGCCTACAATAATTTGTAATGAAATACAGCAGCGCATTAGCAGTTTGTATTCATATTATTGTGAAATATGACGAGATGGAGCTTAGACGAGATGCGTGTAACGGATCAGACGATTCACTCAGACTGACAATATATATTTTAGGTTTCGTTTGTTTTTTAGTGTCTCTTATTATGTTTTGCGGGTCCCAAATGACAGTTTGGACTGGATGAACACCGTCACAAAACATTGTTGAAATACCTAAATAATCCGCAGTATCGTCCAGCGCTTATGGAGAGAAAGGATTCGTCGACCTTGGTTAACGGTCGTACAACCGTCAACGCAGTGTGTACGTACGTTTAGCATACTTTCTATCCTTTGATCATTTCACAATCCGCCCCTTCCTTTTAATATGGAGACATTGATTCAATTGTATATACTGTATTTATTCGAATAAACACCCAGGGGGTTTATTTTTGAGAAGGGTTTTTGAGGGGCGTTTATTAGAGGGAGGCATTAATCAATTTATTTAGGCCTATTTATTTTGGTATAAAATGGATACGTATATATACTCAAATAAACGCCCCTTAATTTCATTGTAAATGTAAAACTACAAGCATAATAACCGACAAAACGTGCGTGATTATAAAGACTTCGAACCAGGTTAGAAAAAAAATGTAATTTTACTGCAGTGGAACATTAAGAATGTGTTGAGATTGCTTCAATTATTTTTTTTGACATTCATTTATGGGAGGGGGAAGCGGTTTATTCAAGGGAAAATAAACTCCCCTGGGCGATTATTCAAAGGAGGTGTTTATTCCAAATGAGGTTTATTAAGGTGGCGTTTATTCAAATATGGTACTATTCTAAATAAGTCTGATGGGTAGGCCTATATTGTAGCCTAGTAGTCATATAGCTTTAGCTGAAAGTCCACTGATGGTATACTCTGAAGCAAATACAGTTCGAATTGAAATATTGAATTGAAGATTACACTAATTGCACTGATGAGATGATTGTTCAAGCTCAGCTTATAATACTTTGTTCATTATTTTGGAATTAATTGGTATAAAATGTATTTATGGACCTTTGTTCAATTTGACAATCAGAATAGGAGCAGAAACACGCGCACGTTCCATAAGCGCACGAGTTTTTACGTACGTTTACCCTGTGGCAGACAAATGATTGCATCACCCAACATTAATATCGCCCTCAACGATTCACCATCCAACTGACTTCTTTTTAGTCATGTACCGGTACCCGTTCTCCACTCGCAGTTTTGGATTCTGTTTATTAATGATTTAAGTAGGAAAATAAATTGGCAATATTTTCGTCAACCACATTGAGAAACGTGTTAGCCTGTGCCTCTCATTGCAGAGTATTCATTACGTTATAAGGCTTACCAGAAATCATATCACGATCAATGTCATTAGCTATTAGGCCTATAAATCATGTATTGTTTCAATCCTTTACCGGACGTCCGACATTAATATATAATAGTATAATTTGCATTTTCCTAGTATTTTGATGTCATTATCATGACATTATTTTATCTAAGTTGAAAGATTATGCAATCCGTGATGTTTAACATAGTGGTATTTCAATATTAAATTTTAAAATAATAGGCCTGGTTTTCTAGAGAATTGTTTCCAATTTTGTAAGTTTCAATCAACAATTTCAATATAATTAAAGAAAATAAAATTACGGCGTACAACAAGAATCTTTATTGTGACCACTTTTATTAAATGGGCCTATATTAATGATTTTCTAAAACATAGGATTTGTTCTCTTTTCATCTGTATGCAGATGACACCTACATTTTGGATTGTAATAAGGATCTAACGTTAATGAGCATTTATGCTTTTTTTGTGAAAATCATTTTACGCTCCTTTATCAGTAATATGAATTAGCTTAGGCAACTAAATGCAAGCAAACTGAATTCGCTTGGGGTTGAAATCGCTGTGACGCCGGTCAGTTTTGTGGACGAATATTAGTAATTAAGGGAATGCTGATTGGCAAGAAAAACGAATAAAATGTTTTTAAAAACCCAAATTTCTCATTCGAATTTCCGAATTATCGAGTAATTTATCATGTACACACAGTGAGCAATCCAACCCAGGCGTTTATTAGTGGAAAAATCTCTACACGATCGTTTGAAATTTCAAATTATATATTTATCATCTCAAAGTACACTAACGTACTTTCAGGATTTACACTAGGTCTATGTGTATTATTACTGTAAAACAGTAAAGAGAAATATATGTTACTTTTAATTAAAATTAATAGTATCCAATGCAGGATGTTGCTGGATAGATCGATCTATTTTATAAAACAGCTAGCACTTAGTAACTCATTATATTTTCACTACAATAAATGCTCATAAAACTCACAAATGTGTATTTGTTTCGTCTTCAATATTGTTCACACAACTTTCGACAACCTGTGGCTTTTTGTCATGTTCCATTTTTTTGGCAGACACGATGGAACCATAGCTAACACTACTCCAATGTCTTTTGTCAGTCTCCCGATAGGTCGCCATAATGTTTCCAAAATATCAATTTGTATTTCATACTGACTGTGGTTCCACATCACGTCATTGTGTTTCAGACGTGCACCGGTGAGCCACACATTACCAGCCATATGTTACTGTTCAATGGTTGATAAGTCAAGTAGTTAATACAATGAAACTGATTTTATTGTGGTCTTAATATTTTCTATTATATTGTCTACGTTTTCATGAATATAGCATGGAATTCATCGCCAGATTGTCAATCAATGTCACATCATTTCCACTTGAATCGTGGTCGGCACCGGACTAGAAAGTGAAGAGGCGTGAGCAATCCGAAGTACGATACTTCCTCGGTATTAATTACTGAGGTTTTAAACAAAGCCTTTAATGACCTTAATATAAACAAAATATCAAATGTGCAACGTACTGCAAATACAACATATTTGTATATTATAATTGCTTTTTTTTTCTCACTTTCCGGTTTTATTCTGATAGATGTATTTCATCTTCGCAGTATATTTGTAAAAAAAATACAAAAAAAAAGTAAAAAGCGCTCTGATCTTCATGAAATAGCGCTTATGATAATGTGTGTATGTTGTATTTTTGGCTGTTTAATTACGTTTACATTTAGATTTTGCATATGCATTTTGTATCTTGTTCATTATGACCGTACAGTAACTTGCTTCTCCTCTAAGCGTCTACTTATGTCTGAACTGGCTGGTAAACCGGTACCAGACTCTCGTTTGTCTGAATGAACCAATCCACCGGGGTAACCCCCTACTCTCTTGAAAGATGCACTGGGTTTTTTAAAGTGCACATGAGCCAAATTGTGTACATCTGAATAGGTAAACAATATAAACAATACACAAAAAAGTTTCTATCAGGGGTGGCGCCAGCGGGGGCGGGG